CTTCCCCATCCCTGCAAAAAAAAAACCAACTCTGGCAGGGGGCCCCGGTCTGGGATGGGGTCCGCCACCATTTGCGCCGGGCCCGGGGCTGCCATGGTAGCCATGAACTCCCACGCCGTGTCCAAGGACCGCCCCAGGGATGGCAGGTTGACGTAATTGTGTGAGAATAAAAAGGGAGGTTAGGTAATACAAGTGTGCCTGTTAACCTCCCAAAAGGAAATGATACTGTGTGCATGTATAAGCCAGAGAAAATAGTTTGAGAATTTTCAGTAATTGTTTATGTGCTTCCTGCTTGCCCCCCCCCCCGCCCCCCAGTGTGTTTTGGTGTAATTTGGTGCAGTGGTTACAGCAGGTGCTGGACTAGAAGTTGGGAAGCAAAGAAAAAAATCAGTTCTTTCTTCAGAGGCCATTTGTTCCATTTTGCAAAAATCAAAGGCAAACACTTTTAACTCTTTCCTGGATAAAATTTCCAAAGATGACTACAGACAAGGTAAGCTGTGGAGAGAAGTCTTGTAAGCCTCTACTCACAGAATTTGATCACAAAGCAGGCATTCATTCTGATATGTCACATCATCGGTGCCACAAACTTCTGGAGGGCTTGTTTTGCAAAGGACTTGTCCTCTGGTTTGGGGATACTTGCTGCAATCAACCTAAAGAAAATTACTAGAATGGGCACTAGCAGAATCCAACCATACTTTATTCTTTCCTGTGTCTTCCCCCATTATACATGTTTTGCAAATTTGGAAGAAAAAAAATACCACTCATCTTTGGCAGATCTCAATATTTGAGTAGTTCCATTTCAGTTTACCTGTAAAAAGGTACGCCACCATGGAACTGGACATCACTGTCAATAGCCCTTGAGCCTAATCCAACACTGCCCCCCCCCATTTATTGTTATTTAAGAATTCTCGATGATGAGAACCACAGATGGATATTATTTGAAGTTGCAATGACACTTGAATATTTATCTCTATATCTATTGCTGCTACTACAGCAGATTCTTTAATTGAAATTAACGTTTCAGTCAGTGTTCATATTTGAAAACAAGGGCTACTTATTTCCTAAATACTTTCTAGTTCCGGTACTGCCTACAACATAGGGGGAATCAAGTTTTTCAACCAGAGTTCTCTAGTTCATTCTATAAATCTTCAAAGATGAATTCTATATCAGTTTCTCTGTTATGGTTCCTCTCCTAACACCCACCCCTGAAACTTCTAACGTCTTGATGACAAACATACATACTTAACATTGCAATCTGTGGAGTCCTTGGGGTTCTCTGAGCTTGGTTGTTTTCTTGCAAACGTTTCATTACCTGGCTAGGTAACATCTTCAGTGCTAGAATGGGATGGGGTTTCCTCTGTAGTTATATTCTGTGTCCTGCCTTGCAAGCGCTGGTGGGGGTGGGGGTTTTGTTTTGCTCCTCTGGTTGTTCCTTGATTAGCCTATGTTTACTGCTTGATTGTGTGCCTGGTGGTAACCTTTCCTTATCTGGGTGATGATTGCTGGTGAGGCGATCTGCTCTTTTGTCTCTTTTGAATAGTATGTAGATGCTGTTTATCTCTATGTCTGACAGACTTAACCATAGTTTTAACTGGGAAATTGTCAGCATTTTAGACCAAGCTAAATCCA